CCATCAGCTGTTGAGAGTTGCACGTGGGGGAAGGAGAGAAGAGGGGCGGAGGGGAAGGAGAGAAGAGGGCGGAGGGGAAGGAGAGGAGGTAAAAGCAGCAGGCGAGGCGGGGCGGGTTAGGGGGGACGCGGGTGGGGGACCATCAGGGGGCTATCAGTAACTTCAACTTACAGCAGGGGCGGCTTCAAGGGCGGGCGCCATCAGCTGTGGAGAGTTGCACGTGGGGGAAGGAGAGGAGGAGGAAGGTGGGAGGGGGGAGAGGGAGGGGGCTCAGCATATCAGGAACCAGCTCCGCCAACTCAGTGAACTTACCGCAGGGGCGGCTTCAAGGGCGCCGTCAGCTGTGGAGAGTTGGACGTGGGAGAAACCGAGTTGATCGAAGAAACGCCGGCCTAGCTGCAGATGTGAGGGGGGAAAGGGGCAAGGGGGCAAGGGCAGGCAGGGGGAAGGGGAGACAGGGGGAAGGGGGGGGAAAGGGCAGGGGTTTTATTGGGTTGTGAGATGAGAGCAGGTGAGAGGTGGGGGAGGCGCAGGTGGGGGGGGGGGGTGCGCAGGTGTGGGGGGGGGGGTTTGCGCAGGTGGGGGAAGCCGAGGTGATCAAAGAAAACATTAACCTAACTGCAGATGTGTGAGGGATGGAAAGGGCAAGGGAGACGGTGGGGGGGAGGGGGGGAGCGGGTGGGAAGGGGGATGTGATGTGAAAGTTGTTGGGGAGGTGCAGTTGGGGAAAATTGAGCTGGTCAAAGAATCAACTGCGTAGCTCCAGGCGTGGGTGGGCGGGAAAAGATGGGTGGGGGGAGTGGAAGAACAAGAGAGGGGAGGAGGAGAGGAGGTGAGAGGGAGTGAGTTGAAGGTAGTGAGTGTGAGAGAAAGAGAGAGAGAGAGGGAATGTGAGACTAGTTGGTATGGGAGGGAGGGGGTTAGTGGTGACCATAAAGAGGGGCAACTCACATGCGTGTAGCCTGTGACAATACGAAGCGGGTTCTCAGCGGACCACTGCGGCATGGCGATGAGATCTTGAATGGAGTTGACCCGCTCAAATATGCCGTATGATGGCACCTGGGGGGGGACAAGGAGAGGGCGAAGGGAACAGGGGACAGGTGACAGGGGCAGGGCCATCGATGACCCCGGCAGCAGCAGGACACAGAGGGGCATGGCAATGAGATCTTGAATGGAGTTGATCCGCTCGAATATGCCATATGATGGCACCTGGGGGGACACGGATAGGGTGATGGGAACAGAAGGGAGGGGGGCAGGTCAGGTCATAGCAGCAGGGGCATTAGTGACCTGACACGGGCAGCAGTGGGAGACACGGGAGGCACTGCTAACAGCAATGAGATCAATTGTAAGCTTATGCTACAGCCCGAATGGAGTTGACTCGCTCAATGCCGTATGACGGCACTCACTGCAATGCTGAGATGGCACTCACTGCAATGCTGAGATGGCACTCACAGCAATGCTGAGGTGGCACTCACGGCAATGCTGAGGTGGCACTCACAGCAATGCTGAGGTGGCACTCACGGCAATGCTGAGGTGGCACTTGCCGAAGCCAAGAGAGTCGTGCACGATGACCAGATTGGGATCGTCCTGGTGTGCGTGTGCATGGGGAAGGGGGAAGGGGAAGAGGGGAGAAGGAGGGGGGGAGATAGGCGAAAAGAGAGGAGGGGGAAGGGAGATGGATCACTCGCGATTGTGGAGAGGGAAGAGGGGAGTGCACACAGAGCCAGGGGGAGTTAGTGAGGGACGGGTTGACTTTTGAGTCGACTCAAAAGAAGGAGTTAGTGAGGGACGGGTTGACTTTTGAGCCGACTCAAAAGGAGTTAGTGAGGGACGGGTTGACTTTTGAGTCGACTCAAAAGGAGTTAGTGAGGGACGGGTTGACTTATGAGTTGACTCAAAAGGAGTTAGTGAGGGACGGGTTGACTTTTGAGTCGACTCAAAAGGAGTTAGTGAGGGACGGGTTGACTTTTGAGTCGACTCAAAAGGAGTTAGTGAGGAACGGGTTACCGGCAAAACGTCCTCGTGAGGATAAGATAAGGGTGATGGGGTGATGTGGGATGATTAGATAAGGTCATGGGATCATGGGTTGATGCTAGGGTCATGTGTGCTTATTCGACTGCATGGCGGTCCCGTCCCGTCTCCCGTCTACTCTTCCTTTCGCCCTTTTCCTGTCCTTCATGTCTCGTCTATGTCTTTAATCCCTGCCATACCTTGCCATACTCCTTCACCATGTCGTACCCCACAATTGTCATGTTCACGTGCCTTCCTCTGTTCTCAGCCATACCTTCCCACGCCATGCCTCTAGTCGCCGTACGCACCTTGCCATACTCCTTCACCATGTCGTACCCCACGATCGTCATGTCCACGTCACCGCTCAGCAGCTTCCTCACGCAGTCCGACGCGCGCTGAAACCACACCTCCAGGCCCTCGATCTGTGTGGGGGGAAGGGGGATGGTGGAGGGAAGAGGGGGAAGTGTTGGTGGGTGTAGGGAGGGAGGAGTGGACGGGGGTCAGGGCAGAGAGAGGTGCGTCACTGCTCAACAGCTTGCTCTCGCAGTCCGACGCGTGCCGAAACCACACCTCCAGGGCTTCGATCTGAGAATTAAAGGGTGGGGACAAGGGAGGCGGGAGTTTAAACCAGAGGGTGGGGGTGGGGGTGGGGGTGGAAGTTTATTAGGCTGCGTTCCTGTGGGCGCCTCAGAGTGTCGTTTCTCGGCGCAACCTGGCTGAGCCACACGGTCACCACTCACTCACTCACTCGTACCCGTCAAAACCCAAAACCCTTGCTTGCTTGATCACACGCACTTATCGGATTGCTTATAACGCAGCACACACGCATGCGTCCAGCCCAGCCCAGCCCAGCCCAGCCCAGCACGCACGCACGCACACACACGTCTATTCCAGCATGCGATCACGCACGCACCTGTGTAGACTCTAGACTAGCCCCGCACGCACGCACCTCGGAGATCTCAGCAATGTACTGGCGAGGGTTCGGCTTTCGCACGGTCAGCTCGCACTCCTGCGACGGGCCAGCGAAAAATCGCGCGAGAAAAGAGGGAGGGATGGAGAAGGGGGGGGGGGGGGGGGGGGGAGAGGGGGGGAGGACCGTCTGGATCACGAGACTAGGGAGAAATTGGAGAAATCGCGATGGTTGGAGTATTTCGATTCGTTTCGTATTTTTTTACAATGTGTGAACACGCATGACTGCAGAGCGACGAACGATGACGACAAGGGCGAGGACGGGTCACCGGGATAACAAGCAGAGACATTGATTAGTAATGATAAGTGAAGAGCTTCTGAAAGAGAGGCAGCGCGCGAGCTGGTCGTACCTTGAGAAGCGCGAGCGTGTCTTCCGCCATGCGACCTTTACTCGGCAGCGCCAGTCGCACAATGTCGCGCTGGCGACTCCTCCCTGCTGTCGCCTGCGACGCTGCCGCGGCACGGGCAATGAGCGCGTGAGGCACAGGCGACGTAAGGAAAGAGAGGATGGTGAATGGGAAATGATGAGAAGCACAAGCAAGCGGGATGTGGGGAGGGGAGGAGGGTGGGGGGAAAGGGGGGGATGTTGGTGTGTCTGGTGGTGAGGCGGCATAGATAAAGACGGCACATTGAAACGGTGGTGCAGATTAAGTCTGGTGATTCTCTCTTTTTTTTGGTCGATTCTCAATCCTCTCCTCGGCGGTGTCTCTGGAACTGGATGGCGTGATAGAGCGCGGAACATCGGGAAGATTCAGGTCAGAAGTTTAGGGCTGAACTTGAGAGCGGCGAAAACCCGATTTAGGACTGCCAGATGAAGGGTACTAGGCTCTAAGAGGGGAATGGGGGCTTTTGAGGTAAAGAAGGCTTCACGAATCTTCTGCATTCCTGCTTGCGACTGAGGTACCGGATCGACTAGGGTACGTGACGTGGCATTGTCAAACTGGGGAACAATAAAAGGAAGCAACGACGTCCTTTCGTTGAACAATACAGGGTTTATAAGTAAGACGGTAGTCAATTACCGGGTGAGCTGGCTTATATTGAGACGTCTAAAAAGGGGGACAAGGGAAGCGGAGTTTACAAGGGGAGCTGGTAGTCGCTGCTGCTGCGGCTGCCGCCGAAGCGCCAGCTGCAGCCTCGCAGCGCCATACAAGCCGGCCCTTAACATCGCGGCTCGGCGCAATGCGCACGACGACGGGAGCGCCTTTAATAGCAGACGACCCTTTGATCGCCGGCGAGGCGGCGAGCATTGGTTGCGGGACGGCCCGTCTAAGGACGCAGTTCGCCATGCTGCGGTGCGACGAAAGTGCCACGTAAATAGGAGAGTTATGCACCCTAAAGACAAGTGACACCGAAACGCTAATGACTGGAACCTCCCTGACGAGAGGAATGTGGCAGCAGGAGGTGGGAGAAGAGAGGTGGGAAAGGAGTTGGGAGGAGGTCAAATGAGGTCTAGCAGTGTCAGGCTGGAGATTAGAATTCTTCCCCTCCAGGACTCCCTCCCACCCCAGACTTCTCGAAGGACCATCCTGCGAACAAGGACGTATACTGTAACATTGGATACGCTCCTCGTGCTTTTTCGTAAGGCGGTTTTGATGAGCACCTGCGAGAAGTGTACCAGTCGCGCAGTGATGCCATTGGGCTGGGAGCGAGAGATCCGTGCAGCCAATTGGAGGGCCGAAACAAACCCACGCATAGGTGGATGGTGTGTGGCCTCGCTGAATGTTTGCGATTGGTGGAACTCCAATGTTGGGCTGGGCTGAAACGAATCTCCTCGGGAATATCCGTTTGGCCCGAAACTGCTGTTCTGGAAAAATGTTCATGGAATAATTTATGCCCCGTCAGATAATGGTACAAAGTATCAGCTATAACGGATCAACGTCACAAACGAGAATGTAAAAAACGAGTACGAATCTGTTGTTATTTCAGTTCCTGCCATTACAGCAATTTGGAACAACCAGCAGGCCCGATTAGCGTTTCCGATCTTCTGACCGCGTCACTTCCCCAACCGTCGCCAGACAAGTATGCCCTCTGCTCCTGCCGCTCCGATCCATGCATCCGCCGATGGCCTTCAGGTAGCCGTCCGATCAACGTGGCGCGTGGCCAACGGCGATTGGTCGTTCGTGTCCGACGTATCAGAAACACAGATCGAGGATGTTAGAAACGCGGAACGAGTCGACTGGGAGTTGAATGGAGAGGAAGGCGGAGGGGGCGGCGGAATCTGCGGAACGGTGACATTGGAGCGAGAGGAAGGATCGTCTGGTTGCGTCTTGACATGTAGGCTTTCGGATCGCATTCCTCCGCATCCCACTCCGTTTAATCCCCTGCCTCCGCGTTCTAACCCGCTTCTCCCCGTTGCTGCCCGCTCCTCTGCCTTTTGCCCCTTCCGCCGTTAGTTCTGAATCCCCCGCTTCCCCCTTTCTGAACCCCTCCGCCCCCGACTTTTTCCCCTCAGTTTCCCCTCCTTCCCCTCTCCCCCCTTGCTCCCCCGCCTCCCCCCTCCCCCAATCTTTCCCCTCCCCCAATCCTCCCACTCCCCCTGCCAGTGCTCTTCCCCGCCCGCGCCGTCCGCCTGCATTCCCTCCACCTCATCACCTCGGCGCGCTTTGCTGAGCTCTACGCAGCTCATGCCACGTGGCAGGGCGCCACGGGGCAGGGGGAGGGCGCACCCGGGGGAGGAGATCTGGGGGAGTATGTGTGCACTGTCAGGGGGGAACCCGCGGGGGCGATTGGAGGGGGAGCGGGGGGAGGCGGAGGAGGGGGAGAGGGAGGTGGAGGGGTAGGCGGAATGGGAGGGGGAATGAGAGGAGCAGGAGGAGGAGAAGCCATCAACCGTCCTCCTCTCCACTCCCTCCTCTTGCAGGTGGCACCTCCCCCAGAAGCAGACGACTGCTCCCACAGCAACTGTGGCTCCGAAGCAGAAGCAGCTTCGTCAACAGGTTCGGCAGCAGGCTCAACAGCAGCAACAGCAGGGGCATGCCTCTCCGACGCATGGCTCTGCTCGCTCTCTCTCAAGCTGCTGGGTCTCAGGGGAGGGTCTACAGTCTCTATCCACTCCCTCCGCCTCTCACTCTCCCCTGGCCCCTTCCTTCCCTCCTCTCTGCCTCACTCCGCCCTTTCCGCTGCCGCCGCTTCTGCTGCTTCATCTGCTTCTGTTTCAGCTGCGGCTGCAGCTGCTGGTGCTGCTGCTGCTGCGCCGAACCTCCTGCCGAGCCTGTCTCCGAACCTGTTGTCAATGCTGCCTCAAGAGATGCTGGCTAAGCTGCCTCCGAACTTGCCTGCTGCTTTGGCAGGTGGCATGGGTGGCATTGTTGGTGGTAACATGGGTGGTAACCCGAGTGGTAACATGTCAGCAACAATGCTCCCGCTCCTCCTCGCGTCCCTTGCGGCTCCCTCCAAAACCCTCCGCCCTCCCCCTTCCTCTGCTCCCTCCCTTCCCTCCTTCCCTCCCAGCATCACCTCTCACACTCCCCTCGCTCCTCTCTCTGCTCCTCCTCCTAACCCGCCTCCCTCCCAAGACCTCCTCACTCACTCGCCTCTCCTCCTTTCTCTCGTGCATCGAGTTGAGCGATTGGAGAGGGTGTGTGCCAGGCTGGAGGCGCAGGTGACAGGTGGCATGTCGCGATTGGCCACACGGCTGGATAAGGTTGAATCCAGCGTTCGTGTGATGCAGGCGACTCATGCCTCCCCCACTGCATCTGCTTTGGCAACTGCTGGCACTGCTGCTACAAATGGTGCTGATGCTACAACTGATGCTACAGCTGCTGCTGCTGCTGCTACAGCTGCTGCAGCTTCTGCTGCTGCATCCACTGGGTTTGAGGCACCTCAAACGTCTCTCGTTCGTGTGATGCAAGCGTCTCATGCCTCCCCCATTGCTTCTGCTTTGACTCCTGCTGCTGCGACCGCTCTTGATGCTACAAGTGCTGCTGCTGCTGCTTCTCCTGCTGCTGCGGCTGCTGCTGATACATTTGCTGCTGATGCGACAGCCGATGCTGCTCCTTCCACTCGATTCGAGGAACCCCAAACTGCTGCTTCTATGCCTCTACTCCCTGATACAGTTTCTGCTACAGCCGCCGCTGCACCAATCAACACAGCCGCTGCTACAACCACTGCTGCTCCCACCACCACAGCAGCTGCTACAGCAGCTAGCGAAGCAGCGGTTGCTCCAAGCACTCTCGCAGCCAGGAATTTCATGGGCGAGGTTGACGGGGCAAGGGAGGGTAAGGGGATGGAAGAGACGCGGAAGGAGGGGGAGGAAGGCACATGGAGGGATGTCACGACCGAAGTGGTGACTGATGCTGGTGGTGGCAGTGGTGGCAGTGGTGGTGGTAGCAGTCGTGGTAGTGGTGATGGTGGTGGTGACGAGGGATCTGCTGCTGCTGAGACAGCAGCTGCAGAGGCAGCTAAGGCAATGGAAGCAGCAGCAGCAGCTGCTACTGCTGTTGCCGAATCAGAAAGGCATGTAGCAAATGCAGAGGAAGCAGCAGCAGCAGCAGCAGCAGATGCCAAGGCAGTCAAAAAGCCAGGGGTGGATGACTTAGCCAAGGCAGTCAAAGAGCAAGGGGTGGATGACTTCTTAAAAGAGATACTTAGCCGAATGGAGCGGCGGCAGCAAGCAGAATCTCTTAAAGAACCAGGGGCTGCTGTGGTGCAAGGGGGGGGTGCTACCTTGATGGAAATTACGGAGAAACGTGGAGTGGGTTGGGATGAGAGCAGCAGTGGGAGGGAGAAGGGGAGAAGTGTAACGGGGGAAAGTGGGAATGCGAAGGAGGATGGGGGGTTTGGAGGGGAAGAGGGGAAAAAGGCTTTTGGGGTCCCTCTAAGGAATGGTGAGGCTGAGGACGAGAACAAGGAGCAGGCTGAGCAAGTGGAGGAGGAAGATGGGGAAGTGGCTTCTGTGGTTCCTCTTAGGAATGATAAGGCTGAGGAGGGGGGCAAGGAGGCTGAGCAAGTGGAGGAGGAGAGGGATGGGATGGGATCAGTGGAGGGGGGTGAGAAGTGCAGAGTGGGGAGTTGTGGGGATTTGCAAAGCTCATCTGAAGCAGAGATGAGACCAGGAGGGGAGGCTGTGGAGGAAGCAGGTGGTGAGATGGGGGGAGGTGGTGGGATGGGGGAAGGTGGTGAGATGGAGGGGGATGGCGAGATGGGGGAAGGTGGTGAGATGGGGGGAGAAGTAAGAATGGGGGAAGGTCACTCGAGCAAGTTGCACTGCATTCTGGAAAAGCAGATAGAGAGTGGTGGGGTTTTGGCGGAGAGTGGTGGAGAGGTGTTATAGAAAGGAGGGGAGCCCGCAGAAAGACTAGCAGCAGAATTGGGATAGAAGGGGGTTGGTGAAGGAGGGGGGTTTCGAGAAGAGAAGCAGCAAGGAGAAGGCATCAGTTCTGGTTCGCAAGAGTTAAGTTCAGCGCAAGAGGACGTTCGCACCTTTACCCAAGAATCGTCGACACGTTACCGAAGGATCGGGCTAGACTCAAAACACGAGCTGGACTCAAAACACGGGCTGGACTCAAAACACGGGCTAGACTCAAAACACGGGCTAGACTCAAAACACGGGCTGGACTCAAAACACGGGCTAGACTCAAAACACGGGCTAGACTCAAAACACGGGCTAGACTCAAAATGTGCCGAGTGTTGGACAGGCATGTGAAGATCGATCGGTCTACATGGCGACGAATGTGCGAGGTGTTAGTTATAGAGTGTGGGACAAATCGCAATGGTGTCATCTTAGAGTCTGTTCATTTGCACCCATGTCTACGGAATGTGAAGCGATTAACATGTAGAGGTGAATGTCTCAGGTTACACTCCACATGGATAAAATGGTTAGTGTTAAGTTACAAGTAGTAACTTACAACTCAACCTGCAACAAAGCGCAAGCTACCCTAACAAAAGAATGGTGGCAATTTGGCCACCCAAATAAAATAAATAATGTTCACATCCGCCCACTAAACATAATAATGATGTCACGTCAGTCGCTCCACACCACCATGCTGGAGCCACAATGGAGGCACCGACAGCGCGCTTAATGGACCCTTTATGGACCCTGCATGCCCTTCATGCGCTTTATTCAACGCCAGCAACTGCTCTCCCTCCACCGGTCGTTGTTATTGGTGTTGCCACTGCCAAGCTGGGTGAAGCAAGGCGACTTGTGAGTCACCTCAAAAGCCACCCAGCAAACCTAGCAACTGTTCTCCACTGGTCGTCATTATTGTTGTCGCCAACGCCAAACCGGGTGAAGCAGAAGATAGTTGTTAGTTCATGTTCAGCACCTGCCACGCCATGGCCGTGTGAAAACTAAAAATGGTGCCATCCGTGCTGCACGTGCAGCTTGTGCTGCCCATGCTGCTTGTGCTGCCCATGCTGCTTGTGCTGCCCGTGCTGCCCGTGCCGCACGTGCTGCTGCAGATGCAACTGCAGATACCAGACCCACCCCAACCACTCCCCCCACCCCTCCCCTTCCCCACAGGCATTCCCCCCCTCACTCGCCAACCCCTGTTGCCACCCTCTCTCCCTGCTGCTGCTGCTGCTGCTTGTGAGAACCCTCAGACGAGACTCCAACAATACAGTTGCACCACACCAGTCCATCACGACTGCTTGCTGCTGCTCCCACCTGTCCCTCGACTATTCCCACCGTACCCTCTATAGGCTGACTCGCTAAAAGCACAGTATTTAATCCTGAGAGCTGTCAATATCGTGAATGTCGTCGAGATTGATCAGCACCGGTGAGGATGGACGCACAGCACGGGAGGCCGAAGCCTTTTTGAGTCGACCCGAAAATCGGTCTCCGGATTTACTCCTGGGAGCTGTCAATGTCGTCAATGTCATCCAAATTGATCACCACTGGTGAGGACGGACGCACGGGACGGGGAGCCGGAGCTATAGGCGAAGAGACAGTTGCAGGAAAAGCCGACGCCACTAGGGGTGACGCTGGCTTGAGTGCAGGTGGGGGATCCCGAACGTCAGGTGAAAAGTCAGGTGATTTTGGGAGGGTAAAGGCATGATCCAACTCCATCAGGTCAATCGAGTTCACTGCTGCAGCTGGTGTAAACCCTCCTCCTCCGGCTGCTGCTGCTGCTGGTTTTCCTGGTGCCATCACATTGGCTCCATTCCTCTCACACCAGGTGTCCGTGTCAACACATGCTTGACCACCAGCAGCACACACACCCTCACTGCCAGGAATTCTCATAACCGGCTTAACAATTGGTGCACTGTGGTTTGCAGGCTTTAAGTGCGGTGCAGTGCGTTTCACCATTGTTGATAGGTGACGACCCACTGCTGGCTTCAACTGTGGCTCTCCCACGCCTCTTTGCGATGAGACTGCTGCTGCTGCTGCTGCTGCTGCTGCTGTTGCAGGGACAGGAACAGGGGCAGGAGCAGGAGCAGGAACAGGAGCAAAAGTGGCAGGAGCAGCAGGGGCAGAAGAAGAAGCAGCGGCTGCAACGGAGAAACAGCTGGTACAATCTCCAGCAGCGGTGGTGGCTGGAGAACTTAGCTCACAATGCTCCTGCTGCTGCCCAGGAGGTTGATCGGTGAACCGCCTTCGTGGCCGTGGAACACAGATCCCTTTGACCTCCTCCCTTTGATCAGCGTTGACCCTCTTTCCTTGACCCGCGTTGACTCCTTCCCAGTCAGCAGCACCTGCCCACACCCCGTGACCAGCATACACCGCACCTGGACTCCCATAGGCAGAGAAGCCTGGGCTGGCAGCAGCCAGAGTGAATTCAGTGGATGGTTGGTGAGAGATAGGGGGGCACTGAGTAGGAGCAGGAGCAGGAGCAGGAGCAGGAGCAGGAGCAGGAGCAGGAGCAGGAGCAGGAGCAGGAGCAGGAGCAGGAGCAGGAGCAGGAGCAGGAGGAGGAGCAGGAGCAGGAGTAGGAGGAGGAGCAGGAGCAGGAGTAGGAGCAGGAGCAGGAGGAGGAGCAGCGGGAGGAAGAGGAGGAGGGCGGCCAGGAGGAGGAGGAGCATGCGCAGGACGAGGTGGGGGAGCGGGAGCTGGAGCACGAACTGGAGCTGGAGCGGAAGCAGGAGCAGGAGTAGTAACAGGAACATGACCCGGAGGAAGGACAGGACGAGCAGCATGAGGAGCGACAGCAGCACCTGCAGCAGCAGCAGCAGCAGCAGGAGCAGCAGCAGGAGCAGCAGCAGCAGCAGCAGCAGCAGCAGGAGCAGCAGCAGGAGCACCAGCAGCAGCAGCAGCAGCAGCAGGAGCAGGAGCAGGAGAAGGAACACGATCACGAGCACGAGCAGAAGCAGCAGCACGATCAGCAGGAGCAGCAGGAGAAAAAGCAGGAGCAGGAGCAGGAACAGGAGCACGAGCAGCAGCACGAGCAAGAACACGAGCAAGAGCACGAGCGCGAGCATGAGCGCGGGTACGAGCGCGCCTTTCGGCACGAGCGCGTCTACGAGCACGAGCACGAGTACGAGCAGGATGAGGAGGAGGAGGATGAGAAGGTGGAGGAGAAGGAGGAGGAGAAGGAGGAGGAGGAGGAGGAGGAGGAGGAGGAGGAGGAGGAGGAGGAGGAGGAGGAGGAGGAGGAGGAGGAGGAGGAGGAGGAGGAGGAGGAGGAGGAGGAGGAGGAGGAGGAGGAGGAGGAGGAGGAGGAGGAGGAGCGGGAGCGGGAGCGGGAGCGGGAGCGGGAGCGGGAGCGGGAGCGGGAGCGGGAGCGGGAGCGGGAGCAGGAGCAAGAGCGTCAAGGGCAGCAGCGACAGCAGCAGCAGCAGCAGCGGCAAGGGCAGGGACATGATTGGTTGCACTGTCAGTTGCACGATGAGGGGCAGCAGCACCAGCAGCAGTGGCAAAGTTACTGGATACACTCTGAGGCAAGGAGATGTCAAAAGCAGTGGGAGTTGCAGCAGAAGAACCTGCTGCATCAGTAGGGATGGGGGTTCGAGCTGCAGTAGCAACAGCAACAGCAGAAGCAGCAGCAGCAGCGGTGGTAGCAGCAGCAGCAGCGGTGGTGGCAGCAGCAGCAGCGGTGGTAGCAGCAGCAGCAGCGGTGGTGGCAGCAGCAGCAGCAGCAGGGGCAGGGGTGGTGGCGGCAGCAGCAGCAGCAGCAGCAGTAGTTGCAGTGTTCCGAGTCACACCAAGAGGACAGGAGGTATAAGGAGCAGGAAGAGCAGCCACGGGAGTTGCAGTGTCAGACGAGGGAGCAGAAAGACAAGAAGCAGCAGCAGCAGCAGTAGCAGCAGCAGCAGCACCACCACCACCACCACCACCAACAGAATCAGCAGCAGCACCACCACCAACAGCATCAGCAGCAGCACCACCGCTAACACCACCAGCAGCACCACCACCACTAACAGCAGCAGCAGCACCACCACCAACAGCAGCAGTAGCACCAGCAACACCACCACCACCAACAGCACCACCACCGGCAGCAGCAGGTACATTGTTACGAGTCACACGAAGAGGACAGGGAGCATCGGGAGGTGCTGCAGCAGTGCCAGCAGCAGCAACACCAGCAGCAGCAGCAGCAGCAGCAGCAGCAGCAGCAGCAGCAGCAGCAGCAGCAGCAGCAGCAGCAGCAGGGACATTGTTACGAGTCACACGAAGAAATGCGGGATCATGCGGAGCAGCAGCAGCAGCAGCAGCAGCAGGAGCAGCAGCCACGACATTGTTACGATTTACACCAGGACGAGAGGGACCACGACGGGCTGGTGCACCAGCAGCACCAGCAGCACCAGCAGCACCAGCAGCATCAGCAGCATCAGCAGCAGCAGCAGCCGTTGCAGTGTCACGCGTTACACCAGGAGGAGTGGCGGCCGGGACACGAGAAGCAGGTTTTGCAGGAGAGGAGGCAGCAAGAACCGCGTCAGCAGAGAGGAACCACTCGTGACCACACGTTGCACACTCCAACTGGAGGAAGGGAGGGGTGGGGAGAGAGGAGGGGGGGGGGGGGGATGGTGGCGGGAGGGGAATAATTTTTCAACATGGTATCAAAGAAAGTGGCAGCAGCGACCAACCTCTCGTGACAGAACAAAAAGTCTTCCCCATGCGATGGGAGTGGAAGTAAGGAAGAAAGTAGGTGCGGACTCACCTTGTACTGCTGCCCCTTGGAGCTGTTGAGGACGTTCAAAACCTTCAATTGCTGGTTCCCCCACACGACCACATCCCCAGCCACTGCACTTTGAAACGTGTCAACACTCACTCGCCGTCCTCACCTTGTACTGCTGCCCCTTGGGGCTGTTGAGGATGTCCAGAATCTTCACCTGCCGGTCCCCTCGCCAGCTGCATTGGGAGCACCGTATCCCCACCCACTGCACACACTCGCTGCGCCTGGGCCTGGCAACAGGCGGGGCAATCAGTGCCTTCTCCCGCCTCGTCAGACCGTCCTGAAAAAGAAGGAAGGATGAGAGGGGGAAGGGTTGGGCGGGTGGTGTGAGGAGGTGGTCCGATGGAGTGCGGAGTGGGGAAGGAGGGAAAAAAAGCGTAAGAAAAAAACGATTTATAAGTAGTGATATTACTGAAAGTCGTCCAGGGAAATAATGACAGAACATATGCTGGCTGGAGGAAGTGAGACGAAGGAAACAATTACCTTCAGTTCCTCCGGTGACATGGAGAGCACAACTGGTGGCGAGAGCTCGCCCAGAACGAAGCGACGCGATAAGCAGTTTCCACTCTGTAGACGTGCATAGATAGGGGTGGCAGGCAGATGCAAGGCGTGTGTTTGTAGATGACATGCGGAAAAAACGTCATGTGGAGGATGCACGACGCCAGCACGCAATGCACAGCTCGAAAGAAAGATAGGAGATGAAATCAACAGAAGAGCAATCGAAAGAAGGCAATCGACTAGACTCAGCTCGAAAATTGCTCACACAAACCAGAGCTCGGAAACATTCTTGGACCTTTTCCCAGCAATTAATAAGACCTTCTCAAAACTACTCACCTTGAAATTTGCTCGCACGGATCTGAGCTTGACAGTATACCTGGACCCCACGCCATCCCCCAGCGTCTCATTCGCGAGCTCCTCCAGATCAGACACCGCTTTCGCCGCCTTCATCTCCCACTCGCGCTGCTTCTCGTGGATAAATGAGTCTGATGCAGCAGCAGCAGAGGGGCTGTCCGTGGGAGCTGCAGCTGCAGAAGAATCGACTGTCGGAATTGCAGCTGCAGAGGAACTGGCTGTGGGAACTGCAGCAGCAGCAGAGGATCCGCCAACAGCGACAGCAGTGGAAGAGGCGTTTGCAGGAATGGAAGAAGGGACAGAGGCCCTTGGTGAGGCGCATGGGGAGGAGGAGGTTGCAGTGAGAAGTGCGGAGAGCAGCAACTCTAGCATGTGGTCCCGCTTGGGGATGCCAGTGCAGCAGCCAGCGCGCTCCAGGATCTCTGCTGCTGTACACCTCTGAGACTGCGACCCTGCTGCTGCTCCTTGTGCTTGTCCTGCTGCTGACCCTCCTGTTGCTGCTGGTGCGGCTCCTGCCACTACTGCTGGAGACTTGAAGCTATTGTTCCCAGCAACGGATGGACCGGAGCCGGCACCAGACGAACGGGAGGTATCATCAGCAGTGCCAACCGCAGCAGAAGCAGCAGCAGTGCTACGCGGTGCACTGCTTGTCGCCATACACCGTTTTCCACTGTGAGATCTAGCAATAGCCCTCCCTCCCACCTGTGACTTCTCTCGCTCCGTATCCTCGCGTAGCTTCTCTCCACCCTTTTCTCTATCCTTCTCTCTACCCTTCTCTCCCCTTCTTTCACTTTCCCTCCCGCCAGTCTTTTTCCCCTGCATGTCACACGCCTTCTTCCCGACATTCTCCACTCTTTCGGCAAAAGGAGGGCGACCAAGGGCAACAGCACCATTCCTCCCGTCTTCCTTCCCTCCCCTCCCCTCACCACCTCTCCCAAACGACGCCAATCTCTTCACTGCTCCCCTTTCCGCTGCCTCTACACGCACGTCCTCTACCGACTCCATATTATGCTGCTTCGTGGTTGTCGCATCCGCACCACCTCCTTCATCCAGCCCTTCATCTCTGCTCCGTCGGTTCCACAGGTAGTCTCCTGGGTAAACACCATGTGTGTTCCGTAGCCTGCTGTTGTCTTCGTCCAACTCCCCACCACCAATATCCTCTTCACTCTCCTGCACCTCCTGTTGCCCCTCCTCATCATCACTTACCACTCGCTGCTTCATCTTCCTCAAACGCTTGAAACCTACGCCGAAACCATCCTTCACCTTTGCTTGGTAAACTTTCCTAGCAGCTGGATCGTGCATGGAAACAGCTGGATCACGCTGTAACGTATTCTGCTGCTTGGCGACTTTTCTTCTCTTTGCCTTCTCGTTGTTGACCCTCGCTCCTATTGGAGCATCATCGTCCGAAGTCTCCACATCAGCTTCCCGCCTCCTTTAAGCGGACTGACCCATCCTTGCATGAAGCGGCTCATTATCACTTCTCTCATCTTCAGATTCCGAACCCTCTCCAGACCCTTCCTCCCTGACACGCTTACTCCGTCCCGAATCCGTCAACTTGACGGACTTGTCTTTCAGCATCTTCTTCAGCCTGATTCTGGTTTCCTGCAGTGTCGCTTCAACCTCCTTCCATTCTCCCCGTTCCATCCTACTCCGGTCATCAACGGCCACGATCCGTCCATCCATATGGCGGTAGATAAAGTGAACCACAAATCCTCCAGCTTCTTCCTCTTTGAGAAAGCCCTTGGCTCGTGGAAGCATATGAATGGTGCATTTACCAGCAATCGCTTCAGCGTCAAACGGATCCGTGTGAAAGGAGTAGAAGAGGAGCCGACGGTCCGCGAGCTCCTGTTCGTTGTAGGGTAGTGATGAGCATGAGGATCTGCTGAAACCATGGAACTTCCGCCGGTCATCCGAAATCTCCTGAACGGAGTACATCCACTGACCGACGACTTCTACTGGAGCCAGAGCACTGGCTCTGACTTGCTGGCGTATTTCCTGCAGAATGTCATGAAGCAAATATTAGAAATATAACATTCTTAAATCATACTGAATGACATGGTGGAAGGTTAGAAAAATGAATATTTTACCCTAATGATGCAAATGAATGGCACAGGTTCCTCGTTGATAACTAGCTCTTCCTGGCTGTCGTTATCCGTCTTGCTTAAGCTCTCATCAGACCACACCAAGACAGCGTCTCCCTGAAAAGCAAACGAAGGCAACAGGATGGCAAGAAGTGAACGGCTCGAGTTAATCATTTAGTTTTTAGGCTTTACGGCGTTTTAACATATTACATGCATCGTTCATCGTTTACATGCATCGTTCAGCGTCCGTAGGATTACGGCAACTCTTGCTGTGTTTGACGTTTCACTGAGTCCTACGGACGCTAACCTAGTGGACCATGTTTCAACGCTCAGATGTAACCTAAGCTGGCATAGCTAGACTAGAACGAGAGAATCTTACGAGCTTGTATATGTTGCCTTGCCACTTTAGCGCTTTAAACAGCAGGTACTCCTTCTTCCCCTCCCGCTCCTTCCGTATCGGCTTCCCTAAAGCTTCTGCACACTCGTCTACATCCATAGCACAACAATGGATGAACCAAGCGACACAACAAGTCTCACCAGCTACTCTAACCTAAGGCAGAATTTAACTACACAGGAACGAAGAATAATACTGAAATGTCAGCAAAAACAGTCGCACTACGAGGCTGTGCCGCTGATAAATTACTTATTTTCTTGATAAATGGCCTTCTGAGACATGGCCTTCTGAATTTATGAAGACATGGCGTCCTGAACAACACCAAACCTAACTCCAACCAAGCCAACACAGATTCACTGTAGCTTCTAGGGCTCTTCCAGACCTCCATTGCGGCTTCGAAGTGCTCTCCTCCTCGCCTCGCCTCGCCTCTCCCTGACCATGTTTCTTAGGGTGTGGGCCCAATCGAGTTTGATCGTGATGGATCTGATCGGGTCGGATCTGATCGGGTTGCTTGTGATCCCAGTGCCCGAGCCGCCCGATCAGAGATGTTTTTCGAAGAAGATTTCCAGCGCCTGCGGAGCAAGCGCTGTGCATTTACGTCAAAATTCTGTCCCCATACTAGCGAGATTGGCGACCATACGTCACCTGGCGAAAGTTTTTGTTTCCGAATAAATTTAACATTGTAACTCCTCGCAAGCGTCGCTGTGGGCCCCGATCACATGCAATCAGTTGATCGCCTGTGATCGAGGAAAATCGACTTTGATCGGGGTGAAAATCGGGTCTGATTGAGTTGATCGGGACGATCAGCTGATCGCGATCAGCTGATTGCCCCTGATTGCATAAAATTGGCTTCCAGGCTTCCTGGAAATTCTTGATCGCATGTGATCGAGGCGATCAAATTCGATTGGGCCCACACCCTTATGAGTCGGGCTGTCTGGTCCGGTTGTCCTCCATACCAGACAGAAACAGTACAGAGCAGTGCAGTACAGTATCGCACCGCCTGAAAACTCGCGCCGAGGAGAACCTATCTATAACTGAGTGTGTTCTGCACATGTCAATGCGCCTGGTCTGTATGTGATAATTCGGGGGGGGGAATTTCGTTCACCAATCAGAGATTCCCGCGGTTCAAACCCTCCTAATGGAACAGAACATTATTACTAATGAAATTGCTTCATCACAAACACTATCAACGATCTATTTTGCTTAAACTTGCAGATTTGTTATACGCACACCAAGCCCTACTTATAAGACAGGTCGCATGTGCTGGACATGTGAAAGGCATCCTGAGCCCAAGAAGGCAATGTACCATGCACCACAACCCTTTCCCCAGTGCTTGGATGTGGAAAATCCAAGCGTTCCGCGTGCAAAAGGTGATGCGACCAAACCCTTCCCTCCATAGGCCACATTGTTGGTCCTCCATACCTGACATCTCCTACCAAGTGAAACCCTGCAAACTGGCAGTGCAGACGAATCTGGTGGGAGCGTCCCGTATGGGGGAAGGCCCGAACCAGCACAGCAAGTGGGGCACATGGAGTAGCTGCACAAGTGTCTTGAGCTGTTTGCTCGTGTTCTGCATCGGACGAGCGAAATTGCGTTGACTTCAGCATTGCCAGAACCACCAGCTTGGTCCGCATGTCCCTTACCCTTGACCCACCAGGAAGTTTCCTCCCAATATCCTTCACATCGTACACACGCCATAGCCCGTGCCGTGATCTGCCATGGCCTGTTTCCAATACTAACTCATCACCTGCCTTCAAATAACAAGTTTTGCGAGGAGCAGAGCGAGAAGCCGGTGCAGAAGTCGAGACAGGGTCAGAAGCAGAGGGAGAGGTCGCGGCAGGGGCAGAGGTATTGGCAAAAGCAGAGGCAGAAGCAGAAGGAGAAGGAGAAGGAGAAGGGGAAGCACATACAGCACCAACAATCTCTTCATCACAGCGAGTATCCCCACTGGGTGCAACAGCAGAAGCGTCGGACAGAGCACAGAGAGCCAAGTACGACTTGCTGACGTCCCTCCTCTCAAACGCCTTCCCTAGCTTGGCAGCTGACTTTGCGGTCTTCGCCAGCAGCAGCACGCCACTGGTATCGCGATCCAATCGGTGCACCAGAAACGGGGTGGAAGCGGGTAACCCTGTAGGTGACAACGCCGTGTGACTGCCAGCTGCAGCTGGCGTACTGCTGGTGGAACTCAAACCCTGCATTCCTGCTGCTAAGTTCTCCGCACCCAATGTCATCTTCCCATCCACAGCACGTGTGCTCTGCTCTGGAAGTTTTCTAATCACAGGTACACTTGATGGCATGTGCGACTCCTCCGCGCTTTCCGCACTTGGCCGTTTCGCGTGTGTCGCTCGGTCTCGCGTGGTCAGCATGGCACCCACGGCTGATAGGATGTGTTCACTGTACACTCCTGGCGGTTTCTGCACGGCAATCAACCAGTCGTCTTCCAACAAAATCATGTCTGGGTCTATTGAGATGCCAGCGCCTGCTGCTGCTTCGGCGGCTTGAGCTCGTTGGGTCTCGATCGAGGAAGACTCTGGAGGAGGGAGTGGGGTCACAGGAGTTGGAAACGATGAAGCTAATGTCGGGGATGGTGCCACCGCTGGATTTACTTGTGCATACTTGGATTCTGCCATGGCTCGTGACCCTCCTGAAGGATCTCGAACACTCTCTGGCGCATGACCGGACGGCGCTGATGCGAGAAAATGAGAGTCTGACGCGGATGCGCAGCAGCTGTTCGTACGAATCGGCTCGACTATTTGGAAAAGTTTCTCAGGCGTCATGCTCGTAAAGAATACGCTAGATCGAAGCTCCGACTGAAGCTGAAATGCGCGCGGAAGTAAGTCGAGGGATGATGCCAAACGTTTCGGTTGTGTCTCGTTGTGAAACACCCTCAATCGTGCCAAATGGTCAAGAAGCTGTCGTCGTGGCCCGAAAACCGTAAGCATGCTACTCCAAGAAAAGCTCGATGATGCGAGAATGGCAACAGGGGAAGAGTCTGTTGTGAAATACTTATGATTTGAATGTGAAGCTATTTTCGGGGAGCAGCAGCTAACCATACTGGGTTCAACAAAGAAGAGCACGAACTGTATTGTAACACTGAAGTGCGACTTCGCGAATTTCAGGTAGTCGAATCAGTCCACAATGCACGACTTCCTTTGCGTTGGGCAGTCCCGTGCATCGACGGCTTTTATGCAGCTGAAGAACCCTTTGACGGCTGAGATTCATCTTGAGCCGACACAAAGGACAAATACGACGAGTGAGCATGTTCACTTGCGAGCAACAGTTGAAGCAGGCGGTTCTGCTTTCCGTTTCGTGTTTGCTCCTCCAGGCGGTCTCTGTTTCCATTTGGCTCGGCTCGGCTCAGTCAGCAGGAGCTCAGCGCCCCTAGGCTCCATCCACACAGCTCCGTTCAACCCTGACAGTTTCGGTTGGCCTAGCTTAAGAACCTTGGGATTGACATGCTCGAGCAGGTTTGTTTGCAGCTGATATTCTCAAAATGGTCTCCCAACCCATCTAGAATAAAAATGCACCGCTCTGTCACGCACAATATCGCATACAGCCACTGATAGTGCACTTCTGCACACTTGAGACCTCCAGCAGGGAGGGTTGGATTGTTTGGCATGGTGATAGTAGCTTCTGTTTCTAGTAACTTTTGTAGGAATGAGAGTTGAGGGACCAAGGGACAAAGTGAAACCGACGTGTCGGGAAAGTGAGAGGGATGGAGTGGGCGTTGGAATTTTTAGGCGGTGATTGCTCAGTGACACTTCACCTCTGCGTCGATTAAACATCATACTCTGACTATTCGTTAGTTTAGAAGCCAAACCTGGAGTTTTCTAGTTTTTTTAAGACTGTCCTCAACGTGACAGTAGCGTGTCGAGTTACCATTTGGCGACAGCCTGTCCTTCCGTGTACATCCTAGCAGAAGGCATCTTATCTTATCATTTCGAGGTTTTTTTTCTGTTCTCTGCCGCCAGAAGAATTTGTCACCTACCTAGTTCATGTGAAATCTCTTCGGTCGCCACGACGCGCGTCATGTCGCGAAACGCCATGTTCACAGACCAACAGCATCCGTCTCGTTACGGACGGCCTCGGTACCTGTTGCCTCTCTTCTGCTGCTGTTCCCTACTCATCCTCGGCTCATTATCATCTACCAATGCCGTCCTCTCCTCGTCGACGAATCTCCAGCACCACCAGCAGCTGCAGCAGGAGCAGCACCAGCAGCAGCATCAGCAGAGAGTACTATCACAAACAACTGTACAACGTAAACCGCCGTTAGAGCCTTTGGAGCCATTGGAAACTTCAGAGCCGTTAGATTCAGTCTCTCAACGCCAATTCTTGAGGGAGAGAGCCCGCGCTTTGCGAGAGAAACTGGACGCGCAGAGGTTGAGACGGAAATCGTCTCGGGTCTCTACCCAGCCGACCTTGAGTCACCTCAAGGTTCGTCTTTTCCCGCCGATGCGGTCCCCTTGCCGCCTTCTTGGTCACGGATGTCTGCATTCTTTTCAACCCAACGCATCGCAAATTGTTTACATCCTAACGGTTCGGCCTTTTTCTTTGAGGGCCCTTCAATAGTTGATTACAGCCGAACGTCCGTCGCGTCTCCTTTTTGTAACAAGTTCTCCCTTTCGCTCCCCTCCCCCCTCCCCCTCTTTTTCCACCCCGTTTCGTCTGGATGCTTCCACGTCAGCAGAGTCTCCATGACAGAATCCAGAGCGACGATTGGTGCAGAGGTCTCTCGGACGGCCTTTACGCAGACCCCCTGGCCAACCCTTCATGCAGGTATGTCGGCATTGCAGACCTTTCAGTTCAGACGTTGCCATCCCCTCCAGTGACAAAACCCACAACAGAAAGCCTGACGTTGGTTTCCGAATGTCTATTTCTCACGAACTTTTTGTGTTCTTCCCCGCTCCACCCCTTCCCAAATATCCGTTCCTCTTCCTCCTTCACTCATCCCATCCCTCCGCTCCCCTCCTGCTCTTTTCTCCTCTCTCCCCCTCTCGCCCCCCCCCCCCCCTCGTGTGCCGCCGCTTCCCAGTGTATACTTCCGCTGCTCCAACCAGGCTCTCGCCGCTCTGCACCGCTGTCCACCGCACACGCTGTTCCTCGAGGCAGGCCTGTGGAACGGCGGTAAAGGGGAGGAGGAGGCGGGGAGCGAGGGCGCGTGCATCCCTGAGGAGGAGTTCCTGCACAATGCACACCTGAGGAAACTCGGAGCGAGCTCCTCTGGCGAAGGCTGGGAGGGTTTCCCTGTGGAGGGCCAGGGAGACGCGGGCTCCGCGTATCCGTCTGGCGGCCACCGGGAGGTTTCGTTGAGGGAGGTGGCGGGTGTGAGCCGGGCAGTGGGCCTTCTCAAATCAAAACCAGCAGCAGCAGCAGCAGCCGGCGCAGGAGGGGCAGAAATAGCAGGGGGGGCAGGGGGAGACGAAGGAGCAGGAGGAACGGGAGAGTCTATGGGAGCAATGAGGAGCCAGCTTGAGGTGAATCCACAGGCAGGGGGAAGCGGGGCTTCATCTCCAGGTGCCTCATCGCAGGCTGCCCCATCTTCCCCCACCCCGTCCGCTTCCCTCCCGGACCCGCAAGCCCTGGCGGAGCTGAATGCGCTGCTGGCCTTCAAGGCGTCCGTCATCGTGTTTAACGACCTCCTCGCCTCATGGACCGTTCCCCGCTCCGCCTTCTCCGCCTCCTCCGCCCCATCCGCCAACTCCGTCCCCTCCGCCTCCCCCGCCTCCTCCGCTGCCTCCCCCGACCCCTACAGCTTCCTCTGCGCCTGGCGCTTCGTTACTTGCTCCCCCGCCCGCCCAGGTGGCGCGCGGAGGGTGGTGGGGCTGAGTATGACCAGGTTCGGCCCGGACCTGGACCAGAGGCCCATGCTGATGCTCACCCGCAGGTCCGTTCTGGAGGAAAATTGGGACGGTTCAGGTGCGGCAAGTGGAGGGGGGAGCAGCGGTGACGTGGCTGGTAGCAGCCGCAACAGCAGCAGCGTCAGTAGCAGCGGCGGTGGAGGCAGCAGCAGCAGCAGCAGCAGCCCTAGTCTTCAGATTTCCCCCACTCTCCCCAGTTTCCCCAGTCTCCCTCTCATCCCCCTGCAGTTCTCCGCCCTCACAGCCCTCACCAACCTCTCTCTCTCCAGCAATCGCGACTACCGCGAGATGGCTGGGCTAATAGGAGCCTTCCCCTCCCACCTCACCTCCTGCTCCTCCCTCCAAGTCCTCTCCCTCACAGGCCACAGGCTACTCGGCCCCCTCCCAGACTCAATCTCTCTCTTCTCCTCCCTTAAGCACTTACAGCTGACGTATAATCTAATGTCCGGGCAGTTACCCACTGCCCTGGCGTCGCTTTCCCGCCTCACGAACCTTAATTTGGAGGCCAACAATTTCTCGGGGGAAATCCCCTCGCAGATATCCCGGCTCGCAAAAACGCTTGTGAATCTAAATCTCGGGCAAAACTCCCTTTCGGGCAGCTTACCAACCGAGCTCGGGCAGCTGACAAACCTCGGAAACGGCCCATTCGTCGACCCATACCCTGGCCTCTACCTTCACCGAAACTTACATTCCGGCCCGCTGCCCGAATCCCTCTCGTCCCTCTCGTCCCTCCAAGCCCTAGACCTCTCTTTCAATAACCTATCCGGCCCAATACCTCAAGCAGGTTCCTTCCTCACGTCCTTCAACAACCTTCTCCTCCTGTCACTATCCCACAACCAGCTCTCCGGTCCCCTGCCGCTGCAGAAGGGCTGCGGCATGTCCTTGTATCTGTTTCAGCTCGGTTCTAACCGGTTCACTGGTGGTCTTCCTGCTGACCTCTCGTCCTGCTACTTGCTTTACTCGCTCGACGTGTCTAACAATTTACTTTCAGGGCAGCTGTCGCCGGGTTTCTTTACGTCCCTAGCAGGGACGTCGGTGGGGGAGATTTTCCTGGCAAACAATAGCTTTGAGGGTAATTTACCCTCGGAAATTGGCGGTGTTGTGACGCTGGGCGCTCTGGATGCCAGTGGCAACCGGCTTTCTGGGAAGCTTCCGGAGCTCAAATCCTGTCCGTCTTTGATTTACCTGGCGAACAATAACTTCTCGGGCAGGATTCCGGCAGGGTTTATCTGCCCGTCCTTGTCAGCCCTAGACTTGAGCAACAACTCTTTGTCGGGGGACCTGCCCGAAATCCTTCTGGGCAACGCTAGGCCAGCCGAAAAAAACCCACCACCATCGGCATCGGCAGCAGCAGCATCAACACTATCAGCAGTAGCAGCAGCAGCAGCAGGAGGAGGAGGAGGAGGAGGAGGAGGAGGAGGAGGAGGAGGAGGAGGAGGAGGAGGAGGGGCAGGAGCAGGAGCAGCAGCAGCGCTACCAGCCTTTCAGTACCTTTCTCTGAGTCTCAACCGTCTCACTGGCCCTCTTCCCTACCTAGGCAAATGCTCCTCCCTCACCACCCTCCTCCTCGATTCCAACCAATTCTCAGGCCCCCTCCTCCTCCCCTCCTCCCCTCCTTGCCCCAGACTCCAATCCTTCAACGTCTCCCACAACTCCCTTACAGGCACGCTCGATACTATCACCACCCAGCTTCGCCCCTCCCCCATTTTCACCCTCGGCCTCGCCGGAAACCTCCTGGAAGGTCCCGTTCCGGCCGCCATAGGAAACCTGACGTCAGCACGGACAATTGACGTGTCAGGCAACCACCTCTCGGGCTCCCTCCCACCGACACTTAGCCAGCTGCAGGTGCTCCACTCGCTAAGTGTCAGCGGGAATAGCCTTTCCTCCTTCCTCCCAGCAGAACTCAGCGCCCTCTCCCTTCTCACCTCTCTGGACGTGAGCAGGAACGATTTCAACGGCCCGATTCCCCCGCAGCTAGCCCCTCCGTTCCTCCCCCGCCTGCTCTACTTAAACCTCTCTCATAACCACTTCGTCGGTGCTATACCCTACGGTTTCTCCAACACTAATACCTCTGCCACCGCCCTGGACTTCTCTTTCAACAATCTTCTCGGTCAAATCCCCTTCAACACCACCGGCACTCCCCTGTCTGCATCCGCGTTACAAGGCAACCTGGGACTCTGCGGAGGGTTCGGGTATGCCTCCTGCCCAACGCCGCCCTACGAGAGCACAGGGGGGGTCTCGCCGGGAGCGATTGCAGGGATCGCGGTGGGCTGTGCGGCGTTTGTCGCGGCGCTGGTGGTGCTGCTGGTGCTGCTGTGGCTGTGGCTGTTTGCGCGAAGGAGAGGGCCGAGCCTGGACGGCGGCACCATGCTGGTGTTTGAGAAGCTGGGCTTTAAGCTCACGGTGACGGACGTGGTGGATGCGACTGAAGACTTCAGTAACAAGTTCTTGCTGGGACGAGGAGGCTTTGGCTCTGTTTACAGGTGCGAACCGCCTGGTTGCTAGCGGTAACGAACGGTAACATGTGGTGAAATGTGGTGACATGTGGGGCGATGCTGGTGTTTGAGAAGCTGGGCTTTAAGCTCACGGTGACGGACGTGGTGGATGCGACTGAAGACTTTAGCAACAAGTTCCTGCTGGGGCGAGGAGGCTTTGGCTCTGTTTACGAGTAAGATCTAGGCTGGTTAGGTAATATGCGGTGATAGGTATGGCGACAGGTGCAACGACAGGTACGGTGACAGTTGTGGGTACAGGTGCGGTGTCAGGTACGGTGACAGGTGCGAGGTACGGTGACAGGTGCGAGGTACGGTGACAGGTGCGAGGTACGGTGACAGGTACAGTGTCAGTCACGACTACACCGTCCATTAGAGGAGTAGAATCCATCCTTTTCTCGCTCCCATTATCCCTGCCCCAACCCACACCCTTGTCCACCCCATTCCTGGTCAATCCCTGCCCCTGTCCCTGTCCCTGTCCCTGCCCCTGCCCCTGCCCCTGCCCCTGCCCCTGCCCCTGCCCCTGCCCCTGCCCCTGCCCCTGCCCTGCCCTGCCCCATCCCCCATCCCCCATCCCCCATCCCCCCCACTTCCCCAGGGCCACACTGCAGGACGGCAGGTCAGTGGCCATAAAGCGCCTAGCCTTGGGCAGCAGCCAGGGGCAGCGAGAGTCTGAAGCAGAGATGAACACCCTCGGCAACGTGCAACCCACATGCCGATCTCCCCTACCCTCCTCTCACTCATTCCTGCCCCTCTTCCTGCCCGTTTCCCTGCTTCTGCCCCTTCTTCTGTCCCATCCGCCCTCTCAAAACACCTCCTCCTTCCCTTTCTCCCCAGGGCCACGCTGCAGGAGAGCAGATCAGTGGCCATACAGCGCCTGGCGTTGGGCAGCAGTCAGGGGCAGCAGGAGTTTGAAGCCTAGACGAACACCCTCGGCAACGTGCGTGCGCCACCGCAACTTAGTAGTCCTTCCTGGTAGCCGCTTACCTCTCCCTCATTTCCGTCCCCACTTCCCCTGCCCCTGCCCCTGCTTCTGCCCTTGGTCCTGTCCCATCCCCCCTCCCAAACACACCCCCTTCCCCCTTTCACTCAGAGCCACACTGCAAGATGGAAGGTCCGTCGCGATAAAGCGCCTGGCCTTGGGCAGCAGCCAGGGGCAGCGGGAGTTTGAACTCCCTCGGCAACGTGCGCCACCGCAACCCACTCGCCCCTCTCCCCTGCCCTCCTGTCACTCATTCCCGTCCTCCTGCCCCTGCCCCTGTCCCTGCCTCATCCACTATCCCCCCCTACCCCCTCCCCCTCCCACTCCCCCTCCCCCTCCCCCTCCCCCTCCCCCTCCCCCTCCCCCTCCACCTCCCGCTCCCCCTCCCCCAGGGCCACACTGCAGGACAGCAGGTTGGTCGCGATAAAGCGCCTGGCGTTGGGCAGCAGCCAGGGGCAGCGGGAGTTTGAAGCCGAGATGAACACCCTCGGCAACGTGCGCCACCGCAACCCCGTAGTCCTTGTCTCCGCATACCTCTCCCTCATTTCCGTCCCCACTGACCCTGCCTGTACCCCTGCTTCTGCCCCTGGTCCTGTCCCATCCCCCCTCCCAAACACACCCCCTTTCCCCTTTCACTCAGAGCCACACTGCAAGATGGAAGGTCCGTCGCGATAAAGCGCCTGGCCTTGGGCAGCAGCCAGGGGCAGCGGGAGTTTGAAGCCGAGATGAACACCCTCGGCAACGTGCGGCACCGCAACCTAGTAGTCCTGGTCGCTGCATACCTCTCCCCGCCGCCCGCCCAAGAGCGCCTCTTAATCTACGACTTCCTCCCAGGCGGCTCCCTAGACCAGGTCTTGGCGCGCGAAATGGGCAAAGACTCGCCGATGCGACGGTGGGCTGTAAGGAGGAACATCTTAGAGGGTACAGCACGGGCCCTCAAATACCTTCACCAGGATTGCACCCCAGGGATTATCCATAGAGATATGAAGCCCGCGAATATTCTCCTGGACGAGAATTTAGAGGCTAAGGTGGCTGATTTCGGGCTGGCGAGGGAGGCGGATGCGAGCCGGACTCATATGAGCACGAGTGTGTTTGGGACGGTGGGGTATTTGTCTCCGGAGTACTCGCAGAGGGGGCGGCTGTCGTTCAAGAGCGATGTGTTCGCGTTCGGAGTGCTGGTGCTGCAGGTGATTACTGGGAAGCTTCCGACGGACAGTGACGTGGCGGAACGAGGGCTCGCCAGGTAGGATGTGGGTGATGGTGATGAAGATGATGGGGATGATGATGCTGAGGATGATGGGGATGATGCTGAGGATGCTGATTATGTTGGTTTGCATTATGTCACAACGTACTAAGGCATGCTTGCTTGCTTTATTGCCTACTTGATAGCATGCTTCCGTTCGGTTCTGGTTTGGGTGCATGCCTGCCGACTGCCCCTCCATGCCTGAGGCTCTTCACGTGTTAGGGAACCTTTACATCCCTCGTTCATCCATCCTCCCTCCTGCCCAAACCCCAGCGTCCCCGATCCTCCCTCCCTTACTCTCTCCCTTTCCCAACCCCTCACCCCCCACCCCCATGCCTGCAGGTGGGTGGGGATGCACACTGTGGCATCATTCGTGGACGACAGGATAGACGACGCGCTGCTGTACGAGGATGAGATCATGGGCGTCGTCACACTCGCCCTGCAGTGCACCCAGACTGTCCCCGCTGACCGCCCCTCCATGCCTGAGGCTCTCGAGGTGTTGGAGAATCTGCACGACTTTGCTAAGGGGATCCGCATGGGGATAGACGCCAAGGAGGTGGAGTGAGGAGGCGGAGAGCTTTTTGGTGTGTGGGGGGAGGGGGAAGGGGGAGTCTGAAGAATCTGAGGTCGCACGTGCCTGAAGCCCTCAAGGTGCTGGAGAATCTGCACGACTTTGCCAAGGGGATCCGCATGGGGATAGACGCCAAGGAGGTGGAGTGAGGAAAGAGGAATGCAGGAGGGATTCATACAAGGGAGGAATGAAAGGAGGGTCTCAAGACAAGAGGACGCGTGCTCGTGTGTGCTGTTTTGGAGAAGCTGCATTTGCGTAGGGGTGAATTTTGAGTCGACTCAAAAGCCACCATGCATGTGCGTGGGGCTTTGGAGATGTTGGAGATACGAATATGCATGGCTTTGCCGTGGGGATAAAATGGGGGTAGATGCCAAGGTGGTGGAGTGTAAAGAGGAGTTTTATTGTGTGTTGACATGGCACCTGAGCAGGGGACGGGGAATGAGTAAGTGGTTGAGGGAGAAGGCCGTTCCATTCACCTGGGCATCAATGCACATGAGCTGGCCTGTGGAGGGGGAGGAAGGACACAACTGAGCTTGTAACGTTTTGCCTTACTGTATCATAAATTAAAACAGTCTCCCCCCCCCCCCCCCCCCCCTTCTTCCCTCCTGCTCCTCTTCCCCCCCCCCCCCTCCCTCTCCCACACCTTTCCTCTCCACCGCCATTGCTCACCGATTCTTTTACCGTTTATTTGTTATTCCCTGCTGTCAAGTCAATGCTAACTGAATGGCAGATACGATGCAGACCGGTTGTGGAGTTGTTGGGCACACATGGACTGCTTCGTAATAGTGGGTGTATAATCTTGTGTTGAATTGTGTTATCACATGGTGCATGTATGGCATGGCTCTCTATAATGCTGTGTAAGGTCGGATGCTGTTTAGGTGAGGAAATGAGGTTGTCAGCAATGCATAGTTGAATTCTAGCCCGGTCAAAGATTCATTCTGGTCTATATATTAGACCGCGCTACTGTAGTTCACCCCATACTAAAATACTAGATCAGACGTTGACTCTTGGTTGTCTTCACAAGTTCACTTTGGAGTTTGAGCTCGCGTATTAAGCGGGAAATTAGCTTGTAACGGAGAGGCAGCAGGAAAGTGTGTCACTCTGGCAGCAGGGGCGAGGGCGATATTCCAGGTCGGGTCCTACTGGCCTGAACCAAGCAGGAGAACCAGAAACGCCGCACCAATAAGGATTTCGAATTTTGCTGATATCGGGTCTCGCCCAATCCGGGCAGCGGACAGGCCATGTGCTCATCCGGCGGGAGAAAGAGTGCCGCCTAGCAATTACGGGAACCTTCAAGTGGCACACTGTTTCGGATGCCACATTTCACGGGTTTCATGTGATTGGCCGCAGCTACTGGACGCTGGACACTTTGATCCTGTCGTGTCGTTCTGCCAATAGTGTTGTCTGGCGTCTTTCACATTTTCTGCCCGAGCCGTAAGGCACACGTCCAGCGACGTCTGTGCGATGCTCGTTGGGTTGCAAAAAACATTTGGTAAATACCGCCAGGTGCTGGTTCTCCGACTGACCTGTTTGGGGGTGATGTGAATGTTTCAAATGTGCGACAATGGCTTCCCTCTCCGATCGTTGCGGAATAGTTATCTTCTGGCCTGGCACTGGCTTGGATTCTGGCCCTACAAACCGAGCCGCCATTTCATCTTTTGTGACTGTCGCTTGCCCGTGTACCCTGTTTCCGTTCGTTACGGCCTGGCAACTGGGTTTCATCTGACTGGCGCTGCGAGCCGGCGACAACTTTCATCCTTCGCTGTGCAAACTGTGCTTCTCGACGACATTTTTTATCAGCCTCGGGGGAACCTGTGTGCGACCTGCCCAAGCAACGAACCATTCGCAAGCGCCTCGAGGTCTGTGTCCGACGAAATAGCCCACCCGAATTCCAACTTGAAGCGACAATCTCGACGATCTTTGCCCCTTCCCAACGCGGTTTGGGCTTGGCACGGGCTGACCTGGCGTCGCGAAACAATTTGTGGATAACCGAGATCCGCGGTACGAAATTTTTGCAAGAGCCCAGAGGCGGGAGCAGGGCACACACACCCGTCGGCTGGTTTGTGTACAACGAAACAAAACGAAAACATTCGTCTGGCTCTATCGTCTGCCCGGGAGAATCAGTCGCCTGCGCCTTTTCGCACAGCCAAGCCTCGCACAGCCGATTCCCGTACCTGAGCAGCACACCACAAGATGAGCTCTGCTCGGGGGTCTCCAATTCTGTACCTGTGTCCTCGTGTGCGCCCCGTCGCCTGCTGCCCAATTCTGTGCGCCCCGTTCGTTCGGGCAGTCGCAGGATCTCCAGCTGAGCGCAGCAGCTCCCGCTGGCAGGCAGGGAGATTGGGAGGCAAGCAGAGATGGGGACATCCCGCGAACGCGGGCATCCCGTGAAAGCGCAGTCGAGATGCTTGGGGAACAGAATACATAAAGGGGAGCATCCTTCGCCTGAAATATCCATCTTTCACTCCCTCAATCTCCTCTCATTCACGAGTTCTGACCTTCGGTGTTTCCAACACACTCCTGCCTTCTCGGATTTCAAGTCACTCGTGAACCAGTCTCCTTGAATATCACGCCTGTTCTCGATTAACTCTTTGTGACAGATTTGCTCGATTTCTCGGCTCAGTAGCTCTAGCTCCTGCTCGAACAGCACATTCGGCTTCCCGCCCAGCGCTGAACTCGAGCCGACGTCGTTTCGCAATCCACGTTCCTCGCGCCTACGTCTTCGAAGCTGCCCCTTCTCTCCTTCCTCTCCTTCTCGTTCTCTCTCCTGCCAACGCCTCAGAATCACCCATGGCTTCTTGCTGGCCCATTCCCGAGTGCGCAATGCAACTAAGTGCCACATCAACTCTGGGCCTCAATTGCCAAGCGGGGTTCGAGCGACCAGGCATCATCACAGTCTTGGCGTCGATTCTCGATAGAGTGGTCGCGGTAAGCGAACAAGCTCCTCCCAGAATCTGCGGCAAGACGGGTCAGCAGCTGACGGTGTTTCACGGGCTCAGAGCGCCTGGAATCAGCATCGCCAAGTACCTGGATCGGATATTTAAGTACGCCAACTGCAGCCCGTCGTGCTTCGTGATCGCGTACATTTACATCGACCGCTTGATCAAGTCGCAACCAGACATGGTCATCACGTCGCTGAACGTCCATCGCCTGCTGGCGACGAGCGTCATGATCGCCGCGAAGTTTCTTGACGACGAGTAAGTTACCACAAAATGACCCTAGCTTATCTCAACAATACACACAATGAAACGAATTCAAGCAAAGCTCGCGTGTGATAGCTTTCTCTCTAGCACACTCCTTCCAGTGAAACGAGTTGCTAACCATTTTCTCCCCTTCTTTCTCCTCCTCTCTCCTACAGATATTACAACAACGCGTACTACGCCAAAGTGGGTGGTGTTGCCACAAGCGAGATGAACAGATTAGAGTTGGAGTTTCTCTTCCGGATTAAGTTCAGATTGAACGTGACGACAGAGGAGTTTATGGAGTACTGCAAGCTTCTAGAAAACGAGCTCTGGACATTGTGCCAGGCGCCGCAGGAGATGCAATACGTGATGGCGACAACAGCGGCTCACGAGGTTCAGATTCAACAACAATACGCTTACGATTACTCTACAGCTGCTGCGATGAATAAAGCTTTGGCGTCGGGTGGGGATGCGGTGCAGACTCCCGAGCAAAGAGCGGAGTTGAGAAGATATGCCAGCCCTCAGGATATCTGCTTAGTGGCTGCGTCATAGCAGCGGTCAAGAGTGCATTGAGAATTCAAAAGGAGTAGAGACTCCAGGTCCCTATACGAATTCAATGTAACATAACACTTTTGACATATATTAGGCCCAATTATTTTATGTAGTGCATTTTTTAGGTTTTAAGTATTATTACGCCACGTACAATCTTTCTCCTTCTCGTGTGTCTCTGTGCCTTTTGCTCACATAGCTTTTCCTTCTGTGCCATTTGTCGGCGACCCTGGACGAGCTTGTGTTGATGCTTATCAAGCCTTTTTGTGGCAGATAGTGATAATTATCGATGGCCCCTTGTCCTCCAAATTTTTTACGAGACAAGACGTGCAGGGTGAGGAACTTAATACGCTAAACCCCGTCCACTAAATGAGGTCATCACTGAGTATACCGTGATGATGTTCACCGTCACGCAAACGTTCACTGAGCTTACCGCTCATCTTTTATTAGCGGGAGGCATCATCGTTTATTGCAGGTGCAGCGTCAGTCACCCACTTTCTTCCAAGCCGCGCGCTCGTTTTCCGCCATGGCTTATATCAAGATCAGAGACAGAACACATGATTTTCGCGACCAGGCAGGAACTGGGATCACGCCTGATCAGATACGTGCGCAACCCCGACGGGGTTTATGCGGGTGGGGTTTGTCCCGAGGGGAGGGGAGGGGGAAGTTTCTCCAAGTGAGGAGGGCGGCAAATATCCTGATTTTGGGGGATGGGGGAAACAGGGGGGGACGAATTGCGGAGAGCTCGAAAATAAGGGAGATGCCAGACGGGCGGAAATGGAGCACCACATGATTGGTGTAGAGCACCCAGTGATGTTGCGCTGGCACTGCGCGTGTGGTTGATGGATTGGGGGGGTGCGTACGCGCGGGTCGCCCGTTGATCGCCAATCGTGGAAGTCGTTCAGAGTCGGTTCGCTGACGCCTCTCGCTCGCCCGAATCATCGGCGGGCCGAACGATAAAAAGCGAACCTTGGCGAGCGCGGGAGGTGCTTTCTTGGGTTGACGATCACTTTTGGGTTAGGAATCTCGGGACAGGATAGAGGCGACTGTAGAAGTGTGGTTCCAGTGGCCCAAGGGGGTCCCCTTTCTCCGTTGACATTTCGCAGGGTGCTACATTCGTTCTGATTGGCTGCACCAAGCTGACGCTGTCAGTCGCACCACTTTTCACGGGATTGTCAATCTAGCACCTGACGGTGTCTCTGCTTTTGGCGCAAAGCTCGTTTCCCTCCCTGCTCGCAACCCTAGTGGTGATGTACCGCTTCTGAGCAAAACCCGGATCAACACATTAGAAGCTAACTACAGAAGCTTTGTGGGGGACTTAGTCATCAAACAATAGCAGTATGTGAACCCATCTTAATTTCCATAGCACATGGGATCACTTATCTTCACCAGCCTGAGACCTCCTAACCATGTAATCTCCATCTTCCAGGTAGACTATACCATCATTTCCCGCATTAACAATGTTTTTTTTCGAGGTGGAGATGCATTGAGCCAGCTTCGTCATTTGGCTCTTCCATGCACATTTCTGACAAATCATTATCTCATACCATATTGAGTTATCCCCAAGATGGAACTTCAACCATCTTAAAACCCATCACGTCATCTAATCGGTCAAAGCATCATCTAAAGATGCACCGGCTTACATTCCCATTGCTTCATCCCCACTTGCACCCTCGGGGAGGGCATTCTAAAGGCAACCATTACATCACAGGAGATCTCATCGCAGAAACGTAGGCGGGAAAGTGTTGCTAGCCACGTGGGAGCCGCCATCACTGATTGACCCATCATCCTCCCAGTTCACAACCAGAAGATTATTTTGCCCCATGTTGCCCTCAACCACTTCCCTCCGTTGATCGAGCGTCCATCTACCGTCCACAATAAACTTGACCTGCCCAAAAACATTTGGGGGGGGAGGGGTGGGGGGGGGGGGGGGGGGGGGGGGGGGGGGGGGGTTCAAGAAAAACGAGGAGGGTGTGCTTGAAGCGAGAGCGAGATGGAATTGAGGAAAACATGTGACGTGACTTCGGAGGGTGAGGGGGACGGAATGAGCATGGTGGGAATCGGAAGATGGAGGTGAAACAATTACTGAATTATGGAGAACAGAGGAGGCAGGAACGGATTTTGGGTGAGGGAGAGCTGGCCAAACAGAGGCGGACGAAGCGGGAACTATGGATGGGGTGTGGGGAAGCTGATGCATTTTAAAGGACCACTCTAGCACACAGACAGAGAACCGTGTAGCACCGCACTGTACCTGATAGTGGCCTGGATAGAGCCAAAGAGTGCATGCCCAAATCATCGCGCCCCTGCGACAGAACAGGGAGGGGAGGGCAAGGGGATGGGGAGGTGGGGGAGAGAATCGGAAGGGCGGAATGAGAGTAGGCTTCAAATTCTAGGATCCCGCACATCAAAACACTCAGCACCTCATAACAATGCAACGGGTTTTCATGTGGTTAAGTTAGTCCTCGCTAGATTGCAATGCAACGGGAGCCAGGAAAGGTGCACCACATCCACCGTACCTGCTTCCACCGTACCTGCTTCCACCGTACCTGCTGCATCGGGTACCAGGGGCACAAGGCTCTTCCACCATACCTGGCTCCACCGCACCTTTTTCCACCGTACCTCCTTCCACCGTACCTTCTTCCACCGTACCTTCTTCCACCGTACCTTCTTCCACCGTACCTTCTTCCACCATACCTTCTTTCACCGTACCTCCCGCTACCGTACCAGCTTCCATCGTAATTGGGAATGTGTGATCCACCAGAGTCACATGGCTCTGCCACCATACCCGCTTCCGCCGTACCTCCTTTCACCGTACCTGCTTCCACCGCACCTGCCATTACAAAGCCTGCTGCCATCGTGGTTGGGTTGGGAATGTGCTAAGACTCATCAGGCACCAACAGCACATGGCTCGTCCATCATACTTCCTTTCACCGTGCATGATCTCACCATACCTGCCGGAACCACAACCATTTTTGAGGCGCCTCAAAAGGAGTGACTTTTGAGACGCCTCAAAAACCGCGAGACTTGAGACGACTTTTGAGGCACCTCAAAAGTCTTCCATCATACTTTCTTTCACCGTGCATGATCTCACCATACCTGCCGGAACCACAACCACATACCTCCTTTCACCCCACCTGCTGCCATCGTGGTTGGGAATGTGTAATGACTCATCAGGCACCAACAGCACGTGGCTCTGCCACCCATTGAAGCTGGCACCATTCCTGCTTCCACCGTACCCACGGTCACCGTACGGTCGGTTCCTGTTTTCACCGTACCTGCTGCCATCGTGGTTGGGAATGTGTGATGACTCATCAGGCACCAGCGGCACGTGGCTCTGCCATCCGTTGAAGCTGCCTGCTAGCAGCACCTCGTGGCCCTCACCCCAGTACTCCACCACCACCTGATGGGGAGAGAGAAAGGAGTGAGAGGGAGTGTGAGGCGGTACGGAGATAGGGGTCAGTGACCCCCCTCTAGGCTGCCTGCTAGCAGCACCTTGTGGCCGTCGCCCCAACACTCCACCACCACCTGATGGGAGGAGGAGGAGGGTGGTGACAGGAGGAAGGGAGTAGGTAGGGTCAGTCTCCCTATTCTCAGCTGCCTGCTAGCAGCACCTTGTGGCCGTCGCCCCAACACTCCACCACCACCTGATGGGAGGAGATGGGAGTGAGGGACAGAGTGAGGGACGATTTAGACAACTGCCCATCACCCACCACTGCCCACCACCCACCACTGCCCACCACCCATCACTGCCCACCACCCACCACTGCCCACCACCCATCACTGCCCACCACCCACCACTGCCCACCACCCACCACTACCCACCACCCATCACCACCCACCACTGCCCACCACTGCCTTCCCTTTCTCAACAAGAGTGCACCATTCACTCACTGATTTACCCTGTTACCTCATATAGTCACCTTCATTACAAACCCTATCGCCGGCTGAGCGACCTCCAGCTTGACTCCTCTCTCCAGCACAATTACAACTGATACTCGTTATAGGTACCTTCACTAGAGCTCCCATGGCCTGCTGAGCGGCCTCCAGCTTGACGTCTCTCTCCAGCACCGCCTGCCGTGCCAGCGCCAGCTCACTCTCTGCGTTGGCCTTCATTATGTGGAACTGCGCCTGATGGGTTGGAGGAGGAGCAGTGAGAGACGAGATGGTGGTTTGGTAGCAGTGAGAGAGGGAAAAGCAGAGAGAAAGATCTCATCGGCAGCTCCAGCTTACTCTCCGCGTTGGCCTCCATCACATGGACCTGTGCCTGCATGGTATGAGCGTGGAGGAGTGAGAACAGTGAGGGAGGGCGCAAAGCAGAGAGGGGGATGCACTGAGAGAGCTCTCAGCACCAGCGCCAGCTCGCTCTCTGCATTCGCCTTCATCAGTTGGAATGTGGGTGCGGTGAGAGAGGTTAAGGTGAGAGAGGGTGCGGTGAGAGAGGGTGCGGTGAGAGAGGAGATGGTGGTATCACTGGCGTGACAGCAACATGGAAGGAGGATACCACCGCGTCCACGTCAGCGCCACCGTGGGTGCATCTAAACAACCCTACGGTCCACATCAGCGCCACGGTGGCATCTGATGTGCCACATCATCTAAACAACCCTGCCATCCACATCAGCGCCAGCTCGCCCTCTGCTTCGACCCCAACCCCTGATATCCCAACTTCTTCACTCGTTGCCATGCCACTTCACACCCTAGCACCCCAACAATCTCCTGCTCCTTTTCCTCACATTCTCACTCGCACCCACGAGCACTCGCACCCACACTCTCACACACACCCACACTTGCACCCACACTCGCACCCACACTCTCAAACACACCCACACTCGCACCCACACTCTCACACACACCCACACTCGCACCCACACTCTCACACACACCCACACTTGCACCCACACTCGCACCCACACTCTCACACACACCCACACTCGCACCCACACTCTCACACACACCCACACTCGCACCCACACTCTCACACGCACCCACACTCGCACCCACAATCTCACACACACCCACACTCGCACCCACACTCTCACACACACTCACACTCGCACCCACACTCTCACACACACCCACACTCGCACCCACAATCTCACACACCCACATTCACGCCTACCTTGGCCTCTTCCATCTCCCGCATTATGACTGAAAGCTCCTCCTCCTCCACACCCACCCACTCTCCTACCTTGGCCTCTGTTCACTCACACTCACACACATAGGTACACGCACGCTCACACCCACATTCACTCCTACCTTGGCCTCCTCCATTTCCCGCATTATGACTGAAAGCTCCTCCTCCCTTGACGCCTGATGGGAGATAAGAGGGGCGGTGAGGAGGTGGGGAGGAGGAGAGGGGGGAGGATGGATGGATGGCAAGGGAGGAATGACGATTGAAAGGAGGAGCAGGAGGAAGGGGACAAAGACGAGGAGTGACACAACGGCCTAATGACACAATGGCCCATCTCCCCCATTATGACTGCAAGCTCCTAGGTCGATTTTTGAGTCGACTCAAAAATCGACTTATCACACAAGCTCCTACGTCCTTAATCATTCACCTCCCGGCCTCTTCCCTTCCAGCCTTGTCCAATGACGATATAAGGGCACTTAATACGTTCACTTCCCGACATATCTGTGTGGGTGGCCAACATATCTCGCTCTCTAGCTCACCAGCAAGGATTTGATTCTCTCTAGCTCACCAGCAAGGATTTGATTCTCTCTAGCTCACCAGCAAGGATTTGATTCTCTCTAGCTCACCAGCAAGGATTTGATTCTCTCTAGCTCACCAGCAAGGATTTGATTCTCTCTAGCTCACCAGCAAGGATTTAATTCTCTCTAGCTCACCAGCAAGGATTTAATTCTCTCTAGCTCCAATTCAGCCTCTTCTGAAAAGAGTGTCGCCTGGTGGAAGGAGATGGGCGAGGGGAGACATAAGGGTGGGGGGAGACATAAGGGTGGGGGGAGACACAAGGGTGAGGGGAGACATAAGGGTGGGGGGAGACACAAGGGTGGGGGGAGACATAAGGGTGGGGGGAGACATAAGGGTGGGGGGAGAGGGGAAGGCAAGGCGCAGGGAAATGTTATGTTGACAAGAGGGGCGTCGGGAGATGGTGAAGAACAGAGGGGGAATCGTGAAAAGGGTGGGAAGGTGAACCAGCAGGGGTGAGATTAGGAAGAGATTAGGACGAGATTAGGACGAGATTAGGACGAGATTAGGAAGAGATTAGGACGAGTTACAGAGGGAGAATCGTGTAAAGGATAGGAAGGTGAACCAACTGTTTTTCTGTGCTACAAGGATGGGAAGGTGAACCAGCAGGGTGAGGGGAGATGAGATCAGAAGAGAAACGGAGAGGAGAGACGAGATGAGATGAGACGAGAAGAGAAGAGACGAGAAGAGAAGAGATGAGAAGAGATGGTGTGATGAAAACACCAAGCAATACAGTGTTAACAACGTGTAAAAAAAGCCATGAATCGTCACCCCACTCCCCTTCTAAGAAATCTCAAGACTGCCCACTCATACTCTACCTGTCCGCCCCTCACCTGACTGGCCGCCAGTCTCTCTGCCTCCGCCATTGCTTCAGCTTCCCATGCCTCCATGCCGCCTGCCCCCACTCCCCGTCGTTGTCTCCCACCTGACAGCCTGCAATAAACGCGTAAATGCCCCTTCGTCCCCACTCACCTGACTGGCCGCCAGTCTCTCTGCTTCCGCCATGGCTTCAGCTTCCCATGCCTCCATGCCGCCCGCCCACTCTCCATCGCCCGCACTCCCACTGCTGCCCCCGCTCCCCTCGCTCCTGCTGCTGCCGCTGGTTATGGGATACGTTGCAGTAGCATAGGGAGAGACGTTTGGAGTGACAGAGAGAGCAGCGATGGGAGAATTAGAAAGAGGCGTGTTAAGGAGTCACGGGGTGGGAGTAGGAGGACCAGGCAGACGTGAGCAACGAGTGAGCGAGTATGCAGCAAGAGAGTGAAAATTCGCATCGGTTCATTCACTAAACTCGTCTTTGCTTGCTCGCCTTGTCGCATTTACATACCATAACATGCCAGGGGACTTTTGAGGCGCCTAGATATATAAGAGGTGCCTCGAAAGTCGTTTTAGCTTGCTCTCCTTGTCGCCTTTACATACCGTACCATGCCAGGAGTGAAGTCGAGATAGGAGGAAGGAAGTCGAAATAGGAGGACTTACAACCACTCCTCCCTCTCTCCTTAGGGTTGTAAGGAGAGAGGGAGGAGTGGTTGTACGCTCATTTCTTAGTCGACTCAAGAATCGGCTGCACTCGCAGCTTCCTCTGTCGATTCATACCTATGATCATATTGAAGCTTCGAGGAAGCTTCGTGAGGAGTGACGGGGGTGGGAGGGGGAGGCAGGGCTCGGGGCGTGTTGTAAGCAGGCGAGGAGAGAAAGGTGTCGCTTGACTCAACAGCCAATCGGTTTATCGCCTCCCGAGCCTGCGAGCGTGCGTCGTCAGGGATACCATCGTACATCCTGCTCCTCCAGAAGCTATCCTCCTCCTCCTCCTCCTCCTCCTCCTCCTCCTCCTCCTCCTCCTCCTCCTCCTCCTCCTCCTCCTCCTCCTCTTCACCCCACTCCTCCTCCTCCCCTGCCTCCTCTTCCACCTCCTCCTCATTTTCCTTCGCCTCCTCCGCCTTTACCTCCACCTCCCTCACCTCACTTCGCACTGCCCTTCCCTTTCTTTCCCATGCTTCCGCTCCCTCCTCCTCTCCTTCCCCTGCTTCACTCTCTGATTCGCTGGCTGAGTCCAGCTTGCTCAGGTCGAGATTCAGGCTTGGGAACAGCCAGGCGACTTCCGGTGCAATGTACCCATCACCTTCATTACTGTCACCAATGTCGGTGTCACTATCGCTGCTTGTGTCTTGGGTGCTTGAGAGGGGTATGGGGGTGATGGGAGGAGAGGAGGAGGAGGGGGAGGGGGAGGGAGAGGGGGAGGGAGAAGGGGAGGGGGAAGGAGAGGAGGAGGAGAAGAAGGGGGTGGAGGAGGGGTTGAAGGAGGGGGAGTAGGAAGGGGGAGCAGAGGAGGCGGAGGAAGAGGAGGGAGTGGGTGCTGGGGACGAAAGCCCAGCTTCGCTGCTGCCGGATTGTGGTTGTAATGAAGATGCTTCAGACGAGGATAAAAGGCCCCTGGGGCAAGAAGACGATGGGGAGGTGGAAGGCGGGAGGGGGAGGGAGGGCAGGAGGGCAGAAATGGGAGGGAGGGTGGATGGGGGGGAGAACTGGGATGGGTTTGGCCCAAGTTTGGAAGTGCTGTCTAGTTAGAACCAAGTATCTTCAACCCACCGAAACAGTTTCCGTGCAACTTCTAAGCAGTTTCAGAGCTGTTTCTGAGCAGTTTCTGAGACGCCTTAAACAATGGTGGAGGAGGGCAGCGGAATTTTTCCAAAGCATGGCAGCAGCAAGGTTCAGGTGCAGCATTATCACCAGCCCATCTTTTGCTCTCTGCTTTCTGCTCTCTGCTCTCTGCTCTCTGCTCTCTGCTCTCTGCTCTCTGCTCTTTGCTCGCTTCTAGCTGCTCTCTGCTCGCTGCTCTCTGCTCGCTGTTCTCTGCTCGCTGCTCTCTGCTCTCTCTGCTCTCTCTGCTCTCTTTACTCACCTCTGCTGCATCCGCTGCTGAAGCACCTTCGCCTTCTGCTGCGCCATGGACATTGCCGAACCTGGCCCCGAGCCTAACGACCCCGGTCCCGAGCCTAGCGACCAGCTCTCCACCCTTCCCCCGTGCCCATCCACCCCTTCCGCATTCCCCCCTTCCCCCCCCTCTCCGCCATCGTCCGCCACCAGTTTCAGCAGCTCGTGCACCCGCCTGTACCCCCTCGTGCGCATCGCCCCCGCAAGGAAAGCTCTGGGGGAAGGGGGGGGGGGGAGACGGGGGAAGGGAAGGGGAAGGACACGGCGTCAGTGCCCCCGCCTGTACTCCCTCGTGCGCATGCCCCCCGCCAGGAATGCGGTGGGGCTTGGGTGGGGGCGCGAGGGGGGAGGGACGGGGAGGACGGGTGTAAGAGGGGAAAGGGGTGGGAGCGGTGGGGGGGTGGGAGCGGGGAAGGGCAGAGGGGAGGCACGTCATTGGCAGGCGAAGTAAGGCATGTCCAGCCTGTCTCCCTCCCTCCCTCTCTCCCACCCCCCCCTCTCGCCCTCCCACCCTGCCGCCTTCCAAGCAGGCATTCCCTCCGAAGCCCTTCTTTCCCGACGACTCCAGTGTGTTCTGAGTCTTACCCGCCGAGCGACGCGACCTCCTTAATCGACGGAAGGTTCTGCTCCGACAGCCCGTTCTCCGCGAGTACTACCCGCAATTGCCGCACGAATGCCACGTCGGACTCGCTGACTTGGCCCGCGGGAATCCTGGAAGAGCCCGACGCACCCGCCGCCGCCACCACCAGGGACCTTGCTGGCGGCGCGACCGCGCTTTTGAAACGGTTTGGAACGAGACAATGGCGTTGCGCGGCTGTGAGAGTTTTGTACGCGTTATGAGGCGCTGCGGTAGCGAGTGAGGGTCGGCACAGTTTGAAGGTGGCGAAATGCGGTGTAGGAGAAAATGGTACAGCGGCTGCCTGCTGCATGGCCTCGACTGCCATTTTTTCCTTTCTTTCCTATAGACTGAAATAAAAACAATGCGGAGTGATAGTTGGACGATATGAAGCAACGAAGTGGTGCTCTGACTAGGAGACGTTGGCAACTATTGTCGAGGAGGGAGGTTATCGGCCATAGCAGAACGAACGATATATTTTCAGGTCATGGAAACAAAAGAAAAAGGTGTTCGCATTTACTATCCTCAAACGCATCACTAATACGCGGAAGACGCGGGGAGAGCTTGCATCGCGCGAGCCTGCCGCGTTGGCACAAAAACGGGGAGCTCTTGAAGGAGTGAGCCTTCCAAGATTTTAGCCGTTATTACCAGGACCAGGCAAAATTGGCGGGAATTGGAGACAACAATGCGGCCAGATGCATGCACCCTACCTAGGGAACCGCGATCGGAATGACGAGGAACAAATGTGGCTCGTTACAAGGGCATGCATTATTCTGCAGATTCTTTTCCTCCACCTTACATTTATTATTTCGCTCTTTTCATGCTGAGCATGCCAATTACCGGTATTCTGCTCACTCTTTCCATTCAAGAAGCAAGAAAGATTCTTGATGTTGGAATACCCGAAAGGTTATATAAAGCATTCCCGAAGCTGTTCCACTGTACCAGTACCGCAATAGCTCATATAGAGCATGCGGAATGTCGAGGGTCACCCGAAGGTCAACCGTCTGAGGAAGTCAACGGTCGTGACCCTTGACAATCCAGTAACCGCGCGACAGTTAATTCACTGCAACATGGTAACTGTCGAGGATAGCAATAGTCACGGTTACTGTAGCTATGCAATACAGTTGATAAGAGAATGTACCCCTCAGAGTACATGGCTAGCTAGATTTCTATTTAATCTCTTGTACTCCTATCTTTCAATCATCTTTTTCTCTTTCAATTATTACTCAACAAGGTCACTACAGAGACTTCATTTTCTCCTCTCAGACTTAACAGATTCTATCATATCCATTGGATCCTTGGTTATATCAGCATAGTATGAGAGCTAGAGTGGATTATACGATCTGTCAAGTCCTCGTTCTTCTCAGAACAATCCCTTTATAAAGTTATTCATTACACCTCAAAGTCTGCAATACTATGGCTCCTGAAGGAAAAGTTACTGCAGACTCACCGGGCCCACCACCAACAACGACTAACGCGCCATCAGCGGTGACCTCCGTCAGCGCCGCTGTCGTTGAGGAGCTAGTCGCACGCATCAACGCCCTTGAAAGCCATCAAGCAATGAGCGTTAACGGCTCAAGCTATGCACGTGGCGTTGCTGGACTTCCTCTCCCTGGAGAAGACCGCCGCGTCAACTCCGAGAGATCCTTCACCTTTGACAATCGTCAAGGGTCAGCTCCTGCACAAGACAACCCACAGCGCTCACAGTCAGACATTGCCTCAATGCAAACCAAACTCGTATTGACTTCAAAATTGAAGACCTCAATTCCTTTCGACGGAAATGATTTCTACACGTGGAGTTTCGAATTCGAGCTTCTCGCGACAACCGCTCAAATCTGGATGTACTACGACGGAAGCATATCTTTTCCCTCGGAAGGTACCATCCAGGAGAAGCATCAATACTACCACGAATCCCTCCTCGCGTACACCGCTCTCCTTCGCAATCTCTCACCTGAAGAGCAGCTTAACATTCGCCCTTATAAGATGGAGTGGGCTCCCGCGCAAGCCTCCTGGGAACACCTGCGCAACTCATACATGGCAACAGATCCAGTTACGATGAGCCGTCTACTCAGCCAACTGACTTCGGTTAAAATGAAGCAAGGGGAGAAAGTGGGACCGTATGTCAACCGGTGCCGCAATCTGCGTGTCCAAGTCAAGAAATGCGGTGGGACTGTCCCCGACGACATGTTTATCTCGATGGTCATCTCTGGCCTCGGCCCCCCAGGCGACAATGCCAGTCACTCCTTCGCGCCCGAGCAACCATATCAGAGTCAGCTCTATGCGCCACGCTTCTTTCGGAGCAGAAGGAAATCGACCTGTACAACGAGAAGAATGTTAAACGGGAGAAATTAGTCTTCTACACAGGAGCATCATGAGGGGAACAACGCGGAAAGAAGTCTGGCCACTCTATCGACCAGTGCTACAAGCGTCAGGCCGCTGACGAGCAGCGCAACGCCTCCAACCAACAACCATCGACGCAGACAAAGCCCTCCGCCACTGTGTCGCCTCCTTCCGTCGCCAGCACTTCACAATCCCCTGCACTCATCACGGCGAAGGACAAAGGAAAAGGAACAATCATAAGTTGCATGGCTCGACGCAACAGAGGGTCCCGTTACTGGGATCGAGTAACATTCACTCGCGGCAATCCCATCAACCCCGTTGCGCCCAGTCCAGACAATGACCCAACAGCTTTTACCTGGTCCTCTCGCCCCTCGGACATTCCTCCTGACTTCGAGCTCTCTCCCCCTACTCCGGAATCGCCGCCGAGCATTTCTGCAAACAGATATTTTGCCCTCTCACCGTACACCGGCGACCTTGATCGCATCGTCATACCCAAGATTGCCAACCTTCCCGCTAGCGCTACGAGGATCTAGACACGTGGTACCTCGACAGTTGCTGCGGACAACACATGGTGGGATCGCCAAAAGTTCATCAGCAACTCTCGATGCATGCGACGACCCTACGAATCACCGCCGCCAACAACGGAAAAATGAAGGCATATGAGATTGGCGAAATCTACCTCGAGGCCGATGACACGAAGTTCACCATTCACATCGGGGACGTTCTCGTCGCTCCTGACCTACAATACAGCTTACTCTCATCAGCTCAACTCATGCGGTGCGGAATCGACATTCGCAGCAATCGGAAGGAAAAGACCTTCGAGCTCTTCCACAACGAAACTTACATCGGAAAGGCGATCGATGATGATGGAGTCTTCGTGCTGCAATTTTTGGCTCAGGGCACCACCGGCGACTCCCACCGCACACTGCTACTGAAAACAACTCCCACGGAGCCACCAACATGGTCACGTCCCGACGAGATGGACCTCGAACGACCAGCCTCCGACGGCCTTCTACGCTTGCGCACTGTCCCGACTGCCTCGACCTCCAACCCTGCAGAAACCGGACCTGCCACAATGGAAGAAGTCAGCGGCACGTCAGGACCTGCAACTCAACCAACCGAAGAAAACAAGACAGCGGAGACATACTGGCCAGGCTGGAACACTTCCGAGCCCGCGCTCGGGCCCTGGGGAGAAGTACCAACTCCAGAAGAAGCAACCGCAGGTGGGAGGGGCGCAGTCCCAGCAGAGGAAGTTGGCACAACAGCAGGAGAAGCAGTTGGAGAAGCAGAGACCGCTGAAGACACATGGGGCGCCAGAAGAGGATGGGACACCACGACCGAAGCAGAACAAGGGCACGCGGAAGCAGCTGGTTTCCCTCCTACGGAAGTTGCCATCGTCGACCCATACAGGGCAACTCGCGGCACCTGCTGGGGAGGTCCACCTCTCCCAGATCAATACGCCCCTGACACACCCGAGCAAATGGCAAAAGAGTCAGAAGAAGAAGAAGCCTACGAATTTATGGGAGAACCAACAGAGTTACCCAAACCTACGGAGGAGCCGAAGCCGCCAGTACAAGGACCACAAGAAATTGAGGTAATCGGCGCTGAATACAGTTACTTGAGAATCCCCGTGAAGGGAATCTCAGTTCGGGAATGGCCCAACCAATGCCTGCTCGTTACCGGAGACCAAGTCGAAGCCGGGGACACCGATGACATCATCGGTATTCCCCTGCCTGCTTCTGGAGCGAAAAGCAATTCGTGCGCTCGCCGCCGACACCGACTCCGCCACCGACGCAGGACCTGAAGGGGAGGCAAACGACGAAGCAGCGTGACAAAAACATTATCAAAAGACAGTCGGTTACCGTGCAGCCCCAGAAACATGGCACCAACGGCTCGGCCATCCCTCCCACACCACGCTCAAAAACTCGCTCAAAGCCGGAGTCTTTGACAACGACGCACTTCTCCTTCCTCGAAACGGTTCCCTCACCGCGGACTCACCTAACCCGCCATGCATCGTCTGCCCAACCGCGTCGCTCAATCACCAACCGTTCCCCGATTTGCCCCCAGGGTATGAACGCTACAAGCCGCTGGACAAGGTTTACAGCGACTTTATGGTGCTCAGCCAGGAGGGGCTCGACGGGGAGCAGTACACACTTACCTTCATCGACGCATCTACTCGCTACGTTTGGGCCGTCAACACCAACAGCAGGTCTCTGGCCTTCGAGTGCTTCATTGCGTGGATGAAGCGGGCTGAGCGACAATCCGGTCTCAAACTCAAAACCTGGCAGACGGACGGAGCCCTGGAGTTCTTCTCAGATGAGTTCAAGGAGCTCCTCAAGTAGAAGAGGATTGAGCACCTGGTGTCCCTGCCCTACGCTCACCAACAGCAAAGAGTAGCAGAACGGACAAACAGAAGCCTCGCCACGCGGATGAGGGCCCTGATGAAGCAGTCGGCCATCCCAACAAAATATTGGCCGTTT